GGAGGAAGGCGGGCGGTGCCGGGGCCGTGGCGGGGGGGGACCTCGGGCACATGCCGGGCCCTGTCACCGCCCGCAGCCGGTGTCAACACCTGCCCCGGGCGGGGAACGAGGCGCCACCGGCCTCGGGGGGGACACCACCGGGCCGGGAGGACACCAAGGAGCCGGGGGGGGGGACGGGGACGACACCGGCAGGTCCCCGAAACGCCCAAGAAGGGGAAGACACCCCATTTTTACCTCATGATTTTGTTGGCGACAGCTCTGCTGAGCGGGAGCCAAGGAGGCAGTTGTCACAGGGAGCCCCCCCCCATCCCGGGGGGACGTGACTCGGGTTTGGGGAGACTTCTTGCCCCCCAAATTATGGAGGCGAGGCAGTGAGTAGGGGGCTGCTCACCCCCGTTTGGCAGAGCGGGAGAAGGAAATTGATCACCGGTGAAGCCGGGGGGCTGCAGGGCCAGACCTCCTCTTTGAGGGTGCAGATGACTCCTCTTCAGCCCCAGTCTCGCTTGTTTCTCCACAGGCAGCAGCACCTTTTTCCGGAGAATCTTTTTCTGGAGAATCTTTTTCTGGCACCCCAAATTTCAGTGATACGGCCCCCCCGTGTGACAGGGGGTGCTCTTCTGGGCAGCTGGAGCAAGGAAGCACAGGTAAATGCCACCCCAGCGCTAGGGCCCACCTTCTCTCCAACACACCAAAATCCTTTTGGTGGCCGTTTCCACTTTTGATGAGAAGGAACGTGGGCCTACCGTGAAGGAACGAGGGGTGAAATATAAAATAAAAGCAGCAGCCAGGGGTGGGGAGGGATGTAGGTCTGTGTGCGCTGACCTGTGGTCCAGCCCAGGTGGCAAAATGGTGGGGTTTTTTTCCAAAAAAGTACTGGAGAGGTGCAGGGAGGTGTATGAGGGAGCAGCAGATGGCTGGGGGGGGCACAGGGTGGGATGAGATCAGGGTCAGGAGCTTTCTATTCGAATTTGGTTTCTGCCTGGACTTGTGCTGGACTGAAAAAGCTCCTTTATGCTCTGAGAGCGGGAAGTGCAGAAGGAGCCTCTGGGGTAGAGCCAGGGGGTTTGATTTGGAACAGGCTTCAGAGCCGGGGAGTCATGGGGAATGGGTGCACATTAACCCTGAGCCTGTTTCCCTCCCAGGGCCAAAATCCAGAGCAGCGACCCTGTGTCCGAGCCGGAGGCTCAAAGTGGGGCGGAGGAGTCATGGAGGAAGGCTGTAAAAGATGCAGGTCGTTACCTGATCACAGGTTAGAGAGCCAGGGGGTGAGTCTTGTGTTACGTCTGCCACCACTATGGGTGACATATGTGCCTAATGCCCACCCGAAAAGAACCTCTTCCCCAAATCCATGCATTTTCACTCCTTACTGAGACTTTTTAACTGAGCAGGGTGGTTTATTCCTCATCACCCTCACACCTCTCCATCTCAATCCTTTCCTGGGACACCATAGTTACATTGGACCAACATGGACCGGTTGCTATGACTTCTTTTACACATGCACGGACACCTGGTTTAAAAATAGCAATTCTAGTTCAAGAGTTCTAGTTTACAGCATAGGACCTGGTTAAACAAAGCCCTCACACACGGGCGCTGCTCCACGGGTAAGTTTGTAGACCAGGTGCATCTTTTCCCAATGCATTTGCAAGGGGACAAGAGTGAGGGCAGCCAGAAAATCTCTTTCGTGAATTACTCAGGACTCGCAGCAAAATACGTTCAGAGCGAAAGGGCCAGCACTAACCCATGCTGACGTTTGTTTCCGGCGGAAAGGGGCCGGTTTCTGAGGGAAGGCGGCTCTGTCCGCCCGTAGAAGGCGCCGGCCGCCATGTTGGGTCTCTCTGCGGCAGGCCCAGCCCACTGAGGGCCCAGTTTTGTCTGAGGACGCCTTCCAGGCCGGTTCAGACCCGAGCTGGAGGTTTTTAATCCGGCAGTGCCGGCCTCAGAGGGCACCGGACGCTGGCCGGGCAGGGGGACTGGCGGGGCCCGGCAGTGACGGGGGTGTACGGACGGCGGCAGGGGGGGACCCAGCGCGGCTCTTCCTGCCGGCGCCGGAACTTTCCCGCGCTGCACCGCGGCGCCTCGCCAAGATGGCGGCGCCCGCTGGCCGCTGCCTGTGGAGAGGTGAATGGGTTTCGCCGTCTCTCTCACCTGCGGCTTTTCCCTTGGCGGCGGGGCAGGGAGCGGCCCAGGGGGGCAGTGGGACCTGTCCGGGCGGGGGTGGTGGGCGGCTCCCGGGAAGGAGGCGAGTGAGGCCGGGAGGCCCCGGCGCCTGTCTGAGGCGATGTTTGCTTTTCCCTTGCAGTGCTTGCCCCGCGTCGCGGGTGGGTCTTCCCCGGGCTCGACCAGCGTCTGGCTGCCGCTACCGCCCCCGCTGTGGTGAGCGCCGCGCCGCCTGCCCGTCCCTATGCTGCGGCAGCCAAGTGAGT